CGCTATGTATGACATGCACATCCTCGACATAAAGAGAGCACAAGATTGTGATGAAACGACGTCTGAGCTACACCACTACTGCCGACGTTACGTCTGAGCATGGATCTTTGCACCCTCTACAGAACGCTTTGCTCTGCGTACCTGTTTAGTACATATGTGTAAAACTGCTCAGTTTTTACGAAGATGTCGAACCATCTCGAAAGGCTTTCTTCAAGACGTGATATGCGGCCTGGGTAGGCACTAGCTCTTTCCTTCTCATGAGACGTTTTTCTACTATGAGTAGTATGGGCCGACTTCTTTCATGTCTCAATCGAACTCTTTTGTTGCGTTGACAAAAATAGAGCCTTCTTTTTTTTTCAGCTTTCTCCACGAGCAGGCCACATGGAGAGTGCCGGTAAGCTGTTATTACATAAATGTATGCGTGATTGAAAAGTTGTTCAACATAAAACCACAAACTAACTGAAACATGCAAGTACAGGTATTGCTCTATAGTAAAGATTTTATGTTTATATTTTGTTTGTCGACACAAAACAGAGCGTTAAAGTATTGTGTACACCTTTTAACGTGTTCACCACTCATAATTGCTCTGTCCACCGTGAAAATAAAGAAAAATGTTTAAAACAAACTTTTGAGATTCAAAGCTTCACAGCAATATTTAGCAACTTTTTAGTGAACATTTTAGCACGGTCTTTTTAAACAAATGCTTTAACATTAATGCTTCGACTGGCCGAGGTGGTATAGAGGTTCGCCGTATAAGGTTCAGCCATTGTAGACTGTATGCATTACATTCTTGCAGAAGACAATGCCGTCCAATCACTGGCTCTGCGTCGCACCTTGCGAACGAATGAACTATAAGTTGTCATGGTCAATGACTCGCAATCATGGCACTCTTTCAATGTGAATAATTTACAACATTTTCACTGAATTTTTGCACTAAAACCGACTCATCAAATAGTTAGGGCGCCTATGAGGGAAGTACTCGAAATGCTTTTAGGACATGCATAGTACGTGTAATATGAATAACTTTCAACTTCAATACTGAGGATATAATACAATCCAGTGACACTCGGCATCCCCAACCTAAGCCTATTATCAATCGATAATCGCTACATCACCATGACGTGGGATCAACCAAGGGGTGATTTTCACTTCCGCTTACTCGATCTGGCTGTCGGAAGTAGTGATAGAGCTGATACTGTGCGAAAAACACATGCTGGATTGTGTGCTAACGGCACCATCATTCGCGCTGAGGAGTCTCAGATAACCTGAGGTTCATTTGATGCCTGCACAAACATTACTGTCCCCATTCGCACCTTCGGCAAGGGATCGCCAGAACGCACATCGGTGGGAACCACCCTGAAAAATGTCTTCTTCGGAGGTCAAGGTTAGTGACGCTCTCAGTTCAGTGCGGTTAAGGTTTCTCACAAGTATATGAGCTGGAAATTCATATACATATTCCCATCAAACTGTAGATATCTCGTTATAGAGGTCTTTGATAAATCCTTGCAGCTCTTCTATAGTTTTCTGAAAATTAGGATGTAGACATGCATGCCGCGTTTTCTACTTCACTGATTATGTTACCTTTCCACACAACGCAACAAATACCTTATTGGGCAGAAGCACCTAGTTCCCCGAAAATATTGATTTAACGGGTTCATGTGCAAGTAATGTTCGATTGCAATGCAGTTTTTGTGGATGTTTTATAAAGTTGCGTCGCTGTGGATGCAATCTGTTCTTTTTTTAATGATAACACCAGTTATTCTGTCTAACCAGCGTCCTTCGATAAACGCATTACACGTTAGCTCTTGCTGATTAAAGAAGCTGCATAAATATTTGTACATCACCTTAGGTTCCAATGCATACATTATAACTATTCCTCCACTTGATTAGTTCTGAACCTTCAGAATCAGACGGTGGCTGGGCCTCCCTTTCACAAGAAACCCGTCATCAAACTTCACCTGCGCACACTTTCGCTCGAATACCGACAAATGCAGCTACGCAGATGAGAAGTATGATGCTTAAAAGTAATATCACCGATCGAACTTTTACTTGCGTCATGTTTACTTCATGTTTGCGGCCATCAAAATGAAATATTCCCAGCCTATAAAAAATTTCCTATATGGTGCAGCACCCCATTGTATAAATAACTATTGTGCCATTAGGGATAGCACGAAACACGCCTAAAGTGGGAAAAAGGAAAAGTGGTGCATAAACAACGCTCTTCCGACTAGCTTTGACTTGGTTATATGTGGAGAATTTGTTTAATTAGGTGGTGCGTATGGTTGCGGCGTTACTAATTGACACGATAAATGCCAGAACTATCAGTCACACCGCATTATTAAAAAACCTCCGCGACTATGTAGTTTTGAGGGGCGCCTTTCAACACAATGTGGAAAATTCCGCAAAGCAGACTCATGACAAATATATGTGAAGCAACTGTGGGGATCCCGGTGCCGTCATTCCCTGCTTTGCTTCTAGCGCTTTTGTCGGCACGAGAGAACGGAGAACGTAATTATTGCGTGCGACAAGTGTTCGTTACTTCGGTAGCAGTAGATGGAATTCTGAAAATTTTTGTGGTGGTGAACTCGTGAGCCAAAGAGCTGTTTTAGTGAATTCACTCCACGGGTACCTGGACAAGTGTTGAAGGTCCCCTTAAGAGGATGACCTCTTTGCTTCTATCTAGATGAAGGCTGTTCACGAGAACATCTACCTAGGCAGGATACGGGGCAGGACAGAACTTTTATATAAAGTTTTTTTTTTCGTAATTACCATAGCTGGATTCCATGACGGTTGGTCGGTCAACAGCGCTTGCTCGTCTAGCTCAAAGCTGAACAATGTAGCCTCCCACGGCAGCGTCGGGGGATATTGCAAGTTCTGTGGCCTACATTGAATATGCATACTGCAACAGCAGCATGGTCTATGAAACACGGAGGCCAAAAGGGTTTACTTATGTTGACTGTTTCAGCTGTCTACTCATGTAACAAATGACCATTACCCCTGTTTGCGTGGCATTCATTACTAATTGTCACTCACAGGCGTTTGTGATGGAATGACCATCGCTTCCTATTTTCTGTGTCCTTCAGATCCAACCAAACCGCAAAGTATCACCATGGTGTCAAAGACGCAACACATGACAAAAATAATATGGGAACCACCAACAAGTATGGATGGGATTCTCGACGTGTACAATGTGAAGGTTTGCGAGAAGTCTACAACTTGGGCCGAGGAACTTCACTGACTGTGTTGAGCGCGTGGTTTGACGTTCATGGCTGGAATTTAACAGCACCGCAGTTAACTCGTATTGCGACTTCATCTCGGCAACAGCATGGTGCGGGAAAAATCTGCTAATGGGCACACAAGTGGCACAGGAAATCAGAACTCCGTTGTTTGGCAAGTATTCTTCTGCAATCTTTATTGAGGAATATAAGTAACTGAGCAGTAACTTGGTTTATTGAGCATTTACTCTGCTGTGTTGTGCACCCACCCCACAGGACATGTGGTGGGTGTACATGTGCCACACGTCTTAAAAAGAGGGCTTCATGACGTACACGAGAAGCATTTTGTGTTTCAACACGATAGCGTCAAAAAGAACTAGTTAGGTTCGCGTATTGGCCTACAGACACGAAGTGGTCCCTTTGCTCATTTGAAAAAGAAATAGCTATGGAGAAGTGCGCGATCAATGCCTCCTCTTGAAATATGCATTCAGTGATATTTTGAAACAGTTAGCTTACACGCACAACCATTCGTTTCCTAACTGGACGGATGAGGCAGGCACCGAGAACCGAAGCAGGTTAGTAGTTCAGAGACTAACGCGCAGAAGTCCCGATTACGATAACGCAATCCGCACTTGAAGACGATGCTCAAGCGTCCTGAATTTTTTTTAATGTCAGCACCACTTGGTCGTATTCGTCATGCACTAATCTCATATAATTATGTACCTAATGAACACACTATATCCTTAAAACGTGTCAAGTTTTAAAACGCTGCTTGCATTACTTTCGGAGAAAAAAAATGGGTAATACGTAACTTACCTTAAACTGTCGCAAAATTAGACATGTTTAAAAGCTATTTTCTTAAGTTCTACAAATTTGAAACCGTATGAATTCATTCTTCATTAGGCATGCATTTCAAGTTAAAAAAAAATATCTTCCTTGAAACAAAACTATTTGTCTTTTTATAGCATCTGCAATTTTCAAAAATGACAGGTGACGCAATTGGTGCCTTCGTGTTGGTGAAGTTTGATATTTTTTCTCGTAAGTTATGCCGTTAATCATAAAACGAAGTTGACTTTCGGGCTACCTGGTGAGAGGTGCACGAAATATAAAATACTCAATGAAATCTAAAATATCAACTTTTGGACCCGTGTCGATCTCTCGTGGAATCACCCTCACCTTTTGTTGAGAACTTGAACTGTTTAAAGGGTAATGAACTGTTTAAAGGGTATTGGTTACCTTTATTTTTATTGCGAATCCCAGTTACATTCATTTCATCCAAATTTGAAGGGCCTTCAACATAACTGAAACTTTAAATTCAGTCAAAGCTTTCCTCGTTTACAGATTTTATGCTAAAATTCATTTACGCTGAACTCTGTTTCGATATAAACTCTTGAAAAACCGAAGGCTTACAAGTGTCCACAACACACGTTGTACCCTTAATTCAAACGATGTTGAGGATTACCCAAAAATATATGGGAACCAAAAGTGACGAAACTTCAAAGAGTGAAGACAGGGACACTAAAACTGAATATTTAAAAAGCCTTACGTACTCTTTGTATGTTAATTGTAGCTGTTAGTCGAAGTTGCCGTAGTGCTTACTCAAGGGCTGTGAAACATTACATGATTCTTATCACGGTATGAAGGAAGCGGTGGTGCCTGCAAGGACTGCGATCCGTTGCTTCGCGGCGATTATTTGTCGTTCTTCTACACGTGCTAACTTCCGGTTGCGGCAGCCTCTTTCGATGCCATATCTGGTCTGGGTCAGGACTTCTTGACTCAGTTTGAGACCACACATGTACTCGTCGTCTTTCGCACGCCATTGGTTTCTTAGCTGTCCTGCGTGATCGATGCGAAGGTCTCGTGTGCAGCTGAAGAATGTGCGTTTGACATTGCGGCCTGTTTTCCCATCAAAGGGGTACGTAGAGAATGCAGTGTTTTTTTCAGTTTTTAGTGGTTTATTGATTGATCATATCGTTCTGGACAGGGGTAATGTCGGCGTTTGCATGTTCGTAACTTGCGGAATACCACGTTCTTTTCCAACTTGGCGATCGCTCTATCATGCAGCTTTTTGTTTCCCCAGAAGACGTTGCTTACTTCGCGGGAGTTGTAGTTCGCTGTCTTTTTCTTTAAGGCTCCTCGAGCAAGATATTGGCACATTCATTCACTTGATGTATTTCTGGGCACAGTTTCTGGGGGTGCTTACCCACATAGAAGGCACCCTTTCAAGCACGTCGTGCGTGCCTTTGCAAATAAGCACGAGCGCAAAATAACTTGAGTATGAGCTTCTAAATATGTCGAGGCACTTTACGACGACGAAAGCAAATACATGCGGCATGGAGTAAGTCACTCTAATCCTTGTGTTCTGGTCAATCGGCTAATCAGGCAATATTGATTAACAAACGTTTGAAGCGAAGATGCTGAACTGAAAATTTCTGTGGAAAACGTTGTATGTAGTGTTCGCGAAATATTCAATTAGGCCTTTTTGATCGCTTCTTTTTGTTACGTGTGCTCAGATTTGGGCGCACGTTAAAGAACCCCAGGTGGTCGAAATTTCCGGAGCCCTCCACTACGGCGTCTCTCATAATCATATGGTGGTTTTGGGACGTTAAACCCCACAAATCAATCAATCAAATCTTTTTGTTACGTGTTATTTTTACCCGCCACGGCAGTCCACTGGTTACGGCGCTTGAGTGCTGATCCAGAGGTCACGGGATCGAATCACGGCCGTGGCAGCCGCAATTTGTGTGGTGGCGGAAATGATCGAGCCCCATTTCCCTATATATATATATATATATATATATATATATATATATATATATATATATATATATATATATATATATATATATATATATATATATATATATATATATATATATATTGGTGCACGTTGAAAAACCCCTGGTGGTGTAAACTTTCGTTGCCCGCGCGACTACGATGTCGCTTATATTATAAGAATGCTTGGCCAATAAAGCCCAACATTTACTACTATGTGTGTTATGACATATGCCATCAAAATACAAAATATATAAACATAATCAAAGGCGCATTTGTGCGCCCTGATTAAAGTGCTCTTCAACGAACGAAGTGCAAATGTTCTGCATCTATCGCGGTCGCTCGTTACGACCCACAGATACAACTGCAATCGCTTGTAGGGCCGCAATCAACTAGCGGGATCGTCGCCCAGCCACCAACGTCGTTGCTGCGCTGTCAGATTTTAATTAACGACAGCAGACCTGACCAAATGCTACGGTTCGTAAAGTGCGGTGTGGTACGTTAGAAAACCCTGCAATCATGGTGCGCGTAGGCGCGACAACAAGTATGTCCAGCATATTTTTGTATTTGGCGGGCAAATACAGTTGGCAAAACGGCAATGGCACGTACTAAATCAACCGTTAGAAAAGATCTAATCAGACGTTTTGAATGGCTGCCTATAGTACATTATTATTGAGAATTTTTCCCACCTTCGTCGCTACAAACGTTTGTAATTATTTTTTATTAACAGGAATTCGGTCAAAGCACTAAATATAGCGTGACTTACTGCACGCATTAGTCTGCAGCTTGCATTTTGTTGGCGCCTTCTTAGAGCGCGTCCGCATATGTGTAAACTTTGGCTTGAGTTATCCGGATATCCTTTATACACAAACGCTTTGAAACCTTAGAGGATCTCATTGAATTTCTACCTTGCCATTTGAAGACATTATTGTGGTACAAGCGTATATGTGTCATTTTAATTTGCGCAGGAAAGCGTCTCAATTACATTGGGGTGTTGATGCGATGATGCATTAGTCCGCAGAACGCAAAGACCCGCATATAAAAAAATACACGCGCTGAAGTATGGACCTTTCCATGGATGACGGGAAGCTGCCGCCGTATGCCAAGTACCATTGCAGGAATGATTCGGTGACGTTGGTCGAAGCCGATCAAGAACAGTCACAGGCCCTTCCCAAGAAAGCACGTGGATGCCGGTGCACAGCGAGGAAATCGCTAGCAGTAGCTATTACGTTTTGCCTGATCACAACGGTGGCTGCTGTGACGCTGTTCGTTCTGCAGCGAGCGGAGGTAAGCTACCAACACTTTTCTTGATTGATGCACGCTTTATTAGCCCTCGGGACAATGTGGAAGTTTATGAAAATCTGGAAGCTTGGAGGAGTGCATGTTCCCGGAAATGGGGAATGTGTGGGCGTCTGAAATGTGGGCGTATCCTTCGAACACTCTATCCCAACCACAAATGCGGAAGAGGAGAGGGCCTTGAAAAAAAAAACAGCACGTGTCGAAACGTTGCAGCCAGCCATAGTGTTTCTTAAAATTACCTAGAGGGGACTATGGCGCTGCGATGATTCGGCGACCATGGGAGTGTCGGATAGTATACAAATTTGCCTAGTCTTCCAGCATGTGGACATCCCCGCCATGGGGGTCTATTGGATAAGGCACTCGGCTGCAGACCCGCAGGTCGCGGGTTCGAATCCCGGCTGCGGCGGCTGCATTTCTAATGGAGGCGGAAATGTTGTAGGCCCGTGTACTCAGATTTGGTCCACGTTAAAGAACCCCAGGTGGTGGAAATTTCCTGAGCCCTCCACTCTAGCGTCTCTCCTATTATATGGCAGTACTGGGACGTTGAACCCCAAAAATTATCATCATCAGCATATGGACATCAAATGTACTTGCGGCTTTGTTTATTGCTGTGCTTTGCTTTGGTTTCGAATAAAAGAACGTATCGGACAGATCTTCGTGGCCTCATATGAATTAATGTGCCTAATAAAAGGTTAGGGTGATGAAGTGCAACTGCTGAAGATTCGCTGATGGTTGGCGTGGGACAAAGTAGCTCCGAGCCACGCGAAGCCAAACGGAGCTGGAAGTACGAAGATTAGACAAACTTCTGTGCTACCCGTCATTCGCATGCTGGCTGAAGCGACGTGCGCAGCCGCTGTCACGGACAATAGCGCCTAGAGTTCCCTGTATCGTATTTAGAGGAGACTCTATGGTGCCAGCGATACGGTTTAAGAACGTTCGCTGTTATTATATGTTTGCGTAGCTAAGGTCTGCAGATCAGATCATTTCCTCAAACAAGAGGTGGAAAAAAAATCAGTCTTCCCAGACCTGACCTATTGAGTTCTCAGCTTTGAAAGAAAACGCAGTGAGTCTCTTAGAAAGGGAAAGATGCAGCTGAAGAAAAATTGGTCTACAACCTGAGCACCTGTGGCGTACTGGATTTAAAATCACAGTATACGTCGAAGTTCTCACAACATCATACTATGTATTATCAAATTATATTTTGACATTCTTATAGTATTTAACACCCATGGGCATCGAATGTTACAATGATATACCGAGCCCAGCTGTTGTCCTGCACCAGCATGAACTTTCGGCAATGATGCTGCTGCCATCTTAGTTGTGCTCCAAGCTCAGCTGGAGCATCTTTTTGTTACGTGGTTCAGGTATGGTGGCGTTTTACAATGTTTCTGAAAGTAAAAGACAAATACACGTGGTAAAAAAGTGTGTCCTGATTTCTACTTATTGATTTTAGGCCATTTAAATTACTAATCCCACCCTAACAAAAATTGCAGACAGCGCCTGCATGTCACAAGGCCCTCTGGTTGTGCGTCCATTGGCTTGCATCACGTAGAGGCGTTGCCATTGGTGGCACTCGTTGAAATTAATACACTCTTTTAAAAACAAAAAAGCATGTTCAAATTTTTGTTAGATGAAAAATTATGCTCATGTGAATGCCGACGCGTCTACAACAGCTCTTGCAAGGGCAAATAATGTAGCAAAACTACACAGAGCTCTTCGCGGCTACGAATACGGGAGGGCAAAAAAAAAAAGAGCGGGATGAAACAAACGTTCTCGGCACTCCTTTCTTTTTTTCTGGAAGCAATACCACGCAGTAAGCAGTGCTGTCAACCCAGAACTTCGGGCATGAGTATCGCTGGTATGCATACGAGGGGAGGACAGGAAAGCTTCCCAACCCCATAATCCTCTATGAGAGGGCATGTACTCTTCTCTATATTGTTACTCGGACCTGTTCAGCCATTGTCGAACAAACAGGCTTATAACCCCACAGGGTTTTAGGGTAATGGCAGCCAAAGGCTTCGGTGTTGAGTTGCAAGAATTGGTGACTTATATTTTCTATCGCAAAGTCACGGACCAAATGCTGGGCATCCTGAAAACCACGTTATCCCTCCATTTTAAAAATTTCCACACATAACTATAGCAACTCGTGCTGTGGAGTCTGCAACGTGGGACAGAGTAGGGGGCACGGCGATCAAACCGTTCCCCTTAACAGCATACCCAGTGCGAGCCTATGTAATGCGAATGGGAATGGAGGTGAAACATTCAAATTTTAAGAAAGATTGAAAACGCGTCACCAGTAGTTCGGTTCGCCGCACGACGTTTGCGTAAGTTTTATTGCTCCCACTCACTCACTTCGAGGAAAGGGCGCGAATGGCAAAATATTTCCTGTGGCCGGAAAATGCATGACTCAATAAGCTACTTTGGCGGTGAGCACAATGGGACGGATAGCGCCGACTCGCTTTCGCAGCCGGCGGCCTCACAGCCGGTGGCTCGAAGCTGATATTGTCACCGCTACCACTTTATAATGCCACTGTACGGTACTTTTGTTACGAGCTGCCTGGGCTCATACAGACTATTCTGCAGGTGGGTTTCAGTGCCGCCGTCTTGGGCTACTAAACTTCGTGTTTTAGGTTTTTTTTAACAACTAAACGAACAGTGTACGTTACGCTAGACATTCCGGCACGAAAATTGTTGGCTTGGTGCACGTGATCTTTCATGGCCTTATTCCTTCAGGTCGCAGTATACAAAAGCAAGAAAGCATCGGCTTAGCAGCCGAAGAAGGCGGCACCCACATGTCTTAGTTAAAATAGTCTATGAGATGCGGCATTTTCAGAAGTGCGTTTAAGGTTAGGTAGATGCCTTTGTTTAGCTCCGGCAACTCCTCTTACCTTAAGTACTAACTTCATTGCATCATGAAGTTGTCAGTAACCAATCAACAAATATAAAGTTTACTCACAAAACTGTGCACTCACTAAAGCAATGCTCACACGTGTTCAACTAAACGTTCGCACGTCATGAATATCCACACGTGCTCACGTGTTAACAGCACTCATATGCAAGAAACTCCCGCACTTTGCCGAAAAGTTGAATCAGGCGGTCACAAGAAATGCCGTTTCTTTACCGTCGTTGCTGATTTAAACAGGCATCCGCGAGTACACGAAGGCAGGAGAATGGAGGGCGGTGTAAGGGTGGAGCGACTGTCTTCCTGGTTATCTCAAAAAGAGCGCCAATTGACCCCTTACCTTTCTTAATTTGGGCATATCAGGCCATTTCAGGAGCGAAGCTACTCTTAGTCAAAACTTTTTCCGCGTCAGGCGTAACGGGTAGTATCTCTCGAACAGTATAACAGATGGCGCTTTCTCCTAGAAGTACATACAAACTGCAGTGCAGAGAGGGTATTCTAGACGGCGCTGTTCCGCTGCTCTCCGATTGGAGGTTCCGCGGGCTGTGCATGGGTGTACGGAAAACGAGTGACTCTCTCTGTCACTTGTATCACTGCCGCACGTGTCGGATCGTTGTTTGGGTATGGAGGAAGTGGAGCGGTGGGCACGGAGGGCCGCGGCGGCTCGTGCTCGTCGTCTGACAGACAGACAGCCAGTTGATCAGTTGGAATTAAACGTATGCTGCAATATCATAGGTATCCAGCATGATCATTCACTTCACCCTGAATCATCAGTTCATCCCTGTTTTTTCTTACCAAACACAAGTTCTATATAAACGTAAAAAAACTGTAAGTGCTTCACCGGAGTTCCTTGGAAGAGGCGGAAGTGTTACTGATGGCTTAAGGTTCTAACTTCAGGTTAAAAGAATTGCGGGCACCTTTTCCATCTATCTGTCTTATATATATATATATATATATATATATATATATATATATACATATATATATATATAATATATATATATATATGAGAAAGAAGGACATACTGAAGGACTTGTTTTTTGTGTGTTTGTGTTTTGACACAATATTGATCAGATCTAGCAGACAATATTGCCAAGGAAAGTATAGGCGAAGTTATTAGACGAAATTGTAATGTAAATTTAAAGAAAGAAAAATGGGTGAAGACATGACTTATATATATATATATATATCCAGTCACCTAGGTCTGGTTATTACTTCCTTAAATTGTTAGATGGTTGAAGCATATGACCCAGTGGTCATGACGTCACTAATGTCCCAATGCTGTCACGTACGTCGTCAAGCTCTTTCCGCCAGACAGACGGCGGTAAATTCCCGCGGGTATGTGCCAAGTACAGCGACGGCAGGCATTGGTAATCTAAATGTGAGAGTGTTAAAAAAGTGGACATCAGCAGCGTTGACATGATGAGCATCAGGGTCCCAGCAGGAATTAAACTCAAGCATTTTGCATGGCAATCAAGTATTCACCCACGGAGCCATGCCACGTTTCGATATTGCTTCAGAAAAAGAACACTATTCAGGTGCAATGTTGGTGAAATGAGATGTGTATTTGCAATGCTGGCCGTCCAATTTTTTTATAAACATTACATATATACTCCTATGATGCAGCCATCTCGTAGGCTTGACGTCACTTGTACTAAGTTGCCATCCTCTGAAGATACTTTATGTATGAGGGTTTAGGGCTGCCAACCTCCCAAGCACTAGCGTTACACAACGGCTTATCGCTTCTGTTGTTGCTAATAATGATGTTGCTGTTGGATTTGTTGTACAAGAGTAAACTACTCGTTATGTAAAACATGAGTGGCTGTTCAACATGTTGGTGCTTAAAACATTTTTCCTCATATTTAGGGTCTTAACAAGTCGCTCAATAACAAATATTGCAACACGGTAATATCTCTCTCCTCACGCTTCGCATAACGTCGATTTCCGAGGTACGTGGGATCTGCCGGATTTTTTTTTCCAAGTTCAAGAGCACACGTTTATATACAAGGTCCCATGAGTCAGACACATGCTTAGCTCATTTAAACTTTTATAGCTTGTCCACTCAGCCTGCTTGCTTTAACCTCAAAGAAGGATAATTACTGACTACTGAGAAAAGCCATGAAACATTGATATGATATACGACAGCACCAGTGATCTCTTTTCCTTGATCTGTGCCATTGGTGTTGTGTCTTGTTCTCGTTCGAGTGAATACAGCTTGATTGATTGATTGATTGATTGATTGATTGATTGATTGATTGATTGATTGATTGATTGATTGATTGGTTAATTAATTGATTGAGTGAGTGAGTGAGTGAGTGAGTGAGTGAACTTTATTAAAGGTGCGACGAGGCCGAGAACTCGTCGCGTGTGCCGCTACTCCCTCGTTGGGACTCGTCGGCTTAGCTCATCTGCCCGTTGGTGGGCGCACCAGACAGCGAAAATTTACTGGCCTAAAACAGAGCTACGTATAAGCGAGTGCAACCCTCATTGCTTAACCTAGAGTATCTCTACTCGCGCTGCCTGAACATGTGTGCTAGAGTGGAGGTTTGCCTGCGTGACTTTGAAGAACAATTACGTGTGTGCCTAATCAAAGTACACGTGCTTCTTTTGCAGATTTTACCAAAAGCAGAACGCTTGAAGACGACTGGTAAGCCCTTTTCTTTGTTTTTGACCAAAATTGACGTGTTTATGTTGACGCGTGACATGGACTAATGCTCTGACTGATGCTAGCTGTGAAGCGCTGGGTGCTGTTACCGCGATAATGCCTTGATATGCTCGCATAGTATGTCGATATGCATCAGTAACATTTCAGCAACTGCACCCAAAGGTACGTGTTGCTAATGTCAATCATACTGTTTCATGACGCGCTGCGAAGCGTTCTTGTTAAGCTTGGTGATGACTGTATTGTACTACGTACACCACCGTACCAGGCCTCACTTTAATATAGTTCGCCAGTGCATCACACTGTCATATTATTCGGGATGAACGAAAAAGATTTTCATAAGGAAACAATAATAGAGGGTTCATGCTCATTGCAGGGCTTCCCGACGTGTCCAAGCTGGTAGTGGAAGGTGTAAAAAGCGGTTTCATAACGTTATCGTGGCGGAGGCCCAAAGGTCGCTTCGACTACTACACTGTCGAAGTAACCGAAGACGACGCTGGCGTTGAAAGAGCTGCGCCACATCGTTTGTGCGCCAACGGAACCATCATTCGACCTGACCAGACAGAAGTGACCTGCGGCCCATTCGAACCGTGCGCCAAATTGTCATTCACCGTGCGTACTCATTTCAAGGGACCACCAGAGCACGGGTCTTTAGGGGTGACAGTAGCGGGAACCTTGATCCTCGCCGAAGGTGAGCCATGTAAACCTTGAGTGGAAGTTTGAACAGCCGAATGGAAATGTGCGGTGGTGGTCGTGGAAAGTTGAAATGTCAAGAGTGACAAAAAATGTTGGCACTTTCTTCCTTTCTTGCTTTCTTTCTTTCCTTCTTTCTTTCTTTCTTTCTGTATTTATTTTCATGCAATGCCCTTAGGCGTTAAAGCACGGGGCTTACAACATGGACCCCAAGAGTTGTTCATTTGCACAACATAATTCTTCAGACAGCTTGTTTCGTTCTGCTACACACTTCAGAAAAAAGGAATGAGGGAACATGCATCGGTATATAAGGTTCAGCTCTGTTTTCTTGGAATACAGTAAGAATATATTTGCGGTATTCGCGGTTCATTCTTCTTTCTTGTAATTTGCTCACTATAGTCACGATCTAATGCCTAATGAAAAAATCAATAAAGGGCGTTTCTTGGTCACGTTGCAAGCAAAGCGTTCTTACAAAACTGTATAGCAACTCAACAGCAATGACAAGTTGTTAGACAATAAAAGTAAGGAAAAATCACGCCATCCTGTCACAAAATGACAGCTAGGCGAACTGTTAAAGAATGCCATATCAGCAAATGTCTTCTTCAACTAAGAAGGTTACATCAACCTGGAATGTTTTCTGTCTTTTTTTTCTCTATTTTTTTTCTTGATATCACATTGCAAAGCACTCCCTCTTGAATGCTTACTATCTCTAGGCTAGGAATTAGACCTTCATTGATTTGTTTGCCAGCGCAGCACTTCAGTTGCTACTGACATTAACGACTACCATGCGTTCATGTCATGACAGCAGTGAAGTGTGGTAACGTGAAATGACAAGTAGTCTCCTCAAAAGATCATATTGCCATGTCGGAAACGGTTGATAGCCAACATTATCCCGATCATGAGAGCAACAATTAAAAAAAATTGGAACTTACCAATATTCATGTTACGCGTGAACTTTCTAAGGCCACGTTTTTGTGCGCCAGCCTGCGTCGGGTTTTTATAGTACGACGCAGATACCTGTATGCTAGAAAAACCTTCTCATTTAAAACAAGTAGTGTTTTTGCTACAATATTACGATAGCCTCTATTAAAATGATAAAGACAAAACTTTTGTTGCATTACTGACACACTAACAGTTTATTCCTAAAAATGGTATTCAATAAAAACAGAAAAATCCTTCTTATTGTCTATTTCTGTTCATTTCATCTGAATGTAATTTGATTGATTTCTTTTTCAATGTTGCCACAGACAAGTTTTTCAGAACTTCCAAACACTGCGTTGCTGTATGCCATTTAGTTATTGTAAGATGAACAAGTTTCTGGAATTTTGAATCGGCTATGCTTTATTGCTGATCCACTCAATAAACACAGCAAGTATCATTTGGTGCTTAACCCTAGATACTATTATTAAAAATACAGCAAGATATACTTCCTGTAGCTGCTACAACAGAGTTAGTTGCTTTGTACTCATCTTTAAATTCATGCTAGAGTTAAAGAAAACAGAACAAAATTTAATAAATGTGTCCAACATGTGCTGTCCCGTACATTTCTTGCACGTTGTTCACGTCTTTCGGACCACAGTATTAGGCAAAGCAAGAAATGTGACTTGCAACTCATTGCTACAATTCCTTGTAGGTGCTGGTGTTAACATACTATTCTTCGCTTTCTCAAGGTATTTTGAGAACACCCACACAAGTTGTCCGTAGTATCAGCGACAACGAGAAACCTTATTACGTATGCACGTTTATTTTTCAGAACCAGACCCTCCGAAGAATATAACCATGGTCGAAAAATCGCATTCACTTACGCGCCTACAGTGGGAGCCACCGGCGAAAATTTCGGGGAGATTTCTCGCCTACTCAGTAAACGTATGCACCGCATTCGAGTCTTGTGGAAGACAGGATGACACAAGCAACTGCACCGAACTACAAACCTACGAGACTTGGCTGAATTTTCAAAGCAGTCTCGACACGAAGTACTGTGTGATGGTCGTGACAAGGTCGCAATGCGGTGGCCGTGCTCTAAGCAGCCGGTCGGTGGCAGTAGAAGTACCTACGTCTTTTCTTGGTAAGTATCCTCACTTTTACTCCACTGCCTTGAAGATAAAACTCTTCTAGTAATTTAGACAACGGCGGTTATGCGTTGATGTGTTTTTACCTTGAAGGTGTCCTAGTTTACATCTCCTCATAGCTATAGTTTCAGCTATAATTTATTTAACATTAGAGACACAAATAGTTATACCTAAAGAAAATGTACAACTAGTTTAGCTTGTAATTATCAAATTTCACTGCAGAACTGCAAATAAAGGTTTCAATTTCCGGCAGTAGCAGTCTTAACAATGTAGTGAATAGTTCTGAAATTCTCGTGTATGATGAATGAATTTTGTAAGTTTAGCTGCCCACAGGCCAGGTTTGATTATTTAGGCTTAGAAACTATAGCTTCATAAAATTTACGCCATCATGAAATGTTTTTGTCATGCATTTTGTCGTTAGTTCAAGGTAGCTAGGAGACGATCTAGTAAGAATAAATTCTTAGATCCTTATTTATTGGCTCTGATAGCTGTAGTTTATTATGTAAAAAAAGATTGGTGTATATCGCAACGAAATTCTCATCTTGGGCCATTTGATGGCTGATTTGTCCGGTTTAGTTTATTTGGCGTCTTTGAACGTGTGTCTGAATTGGAAGTTTTACATAAGAGTGTTATTTTTAAGGGTCTTTGTTCCTAAACTAAGGAATGAGATAAAAGCACAATACTGAAGGAAGAAATGAAAAATATATAAAATTGCAGAAATAAAGCAGTAGAAAAATTATACAGTAACCGATTCATTCGTCTTCACGGTAGAACGGACATGTCACGCTGACAAAATGCACGCTGAAGCTGCTCAGTCTCTGCTGCATTTACAGAATTTCAAACACGCTCTTGAACGTTTCTGGAAGCCTTTTACTTGTACAACATAATGTTTTCTTCAAAACATGCTTGCGTATTACAAACTTCATTTGGATTCATTTCAAAGAAGTAAGGTAACCTTGAAACTCTACCAACATGCTTCACAGTTGTGGCGAGCAGTCAAGACTTACCTTTGAGAAACTCGCCGATTTCATATCTTTTGGGCTGGATACAACTCGCCTCCTTGATTAGAATGAATGCCTATTTTTTCAATCAGATATTAAAGTGCTTGTACGTACATCTGGGCAGTGCGATGTAGTCGCCGTGTACTGTAGAAGCTTTACGCACGGAAACAGGTGGCTCAGTCATGCTGGCAGATGTTTTTATGCGCACACATGTACGTTTAAGCCACCTTGTTATGCTCAACTGCCTGGTTGGTTTTAGAAGTCATTGACGTCAACAATGCTGCTAAAAATTGTGGCAGGTAAGTTTTCGTATATCAAGGTGTCGGTTGAAAATTTCGAATGTGTAGTCAGGTAAGTTGGTAATTCTTGCATATAACTAACTCTTATTCTCTTGGTCTCTATATATACAAGGCACTGCAAGGTCAGAATGTTGTACAGGCAGTGTAGACTGCTATGCTAGTATATAGTAAGGAATTAGGCATGTAGGACATGAAATAAACAATTTTAGAATAATGGTACTTGACATTAGCTCTTTAAAAGTTGTGTGACTTGGTAATATTGATTTTACACCCATAAAAAAGGGCTAGTGGCATCGTATGCGACAGTGAAAACTTACTTAAAATTCATAAAGACAACGAAATACATTCAGATTTGTCGCACTTATCCACCACAAGATGACAAAAAGCCGATACAGAAACAACAGAGCAGCAAGTTTTGTTTCACCCTTGTTACAGCTCTGCCTGACGTAACCAATCTCAACTTAGTGGCCGCCGATAACCACTATATCACGTAACCTGGGATCGACCTCGGCTTAGCTTCGACTTCTACTGGCTTGATGTCAGCGGAGGCTATGAGAATGGAAACGTCAGTCGACCGATGCGCACCGCGAGTGCCTGTCCCAATGGAACAATCATTCGCCCTCAGCAGACTCAGATCACGTGCGGCCCTTTTGATTCATGCTCCAGCGTTGACGTCACCGTTCGCACGTACAATAAGGGACCACCAGAGCTCCTGTCGGAGGGAACCACTTTGAGTGACATTTTCATCGGCGCTCAGGGTAAGCGGTATTTTTATTGTTGCTTAACTAACTGTGTTGACGCAAGAAAGTTCGGGCCAAACTGCAGTTTCCACAAAACCTGAAGCCACAAACACGTTGTGATGGATCTGTAGCAACACATTGGAATGATCTTTTCTTTTCTTTTTTGCCGAGATTGGTCGTTTTGTACTGCAATTTCTTTCTGAAAAAATTTCTCATTATATTCAGCGTGCGCCAGAGCATATTTCGCCGGTTTTGTTAAAGTGGAAGCCCTGAACGCTTCATAAAGCGCGAAATCGATGCCGGCGTCGCACTAACAGTCCCAAAGATTCAGTGTGGGTTATATAACACGTTAGAAGTAGCGCCGTTATCGCCAACACTGGATTTCTGGATGGTAACACGTTACAATGTTCGGTAACTCAGTAACCTACTCGTTACAACTTTGGAACTGTAACGGTCAACGTACTTACGTTAACATTTTTTTGGTAACGTCTAGTGTCATGTTACACCTTGCTTTTTTTTCTTGTTGGCGCCGTTTTCCCAGACTTCACCTGATCAAATTTTCTTGGCGCAGTGTCGAGAAACTACTGGCCTACCAGGCATTGGCAAAGAATGCGTGGCTGGAAACGGTTTTGTTCGGGAAAATCGCGAGTAAAAGTTTTTCAGGATACGCCGACTCGCTGTGGGGAAGGTTGCACCATTGCCACTCATTGTTTGAAGAAAAGCCGCAGAATCCACCAACAGAAAGTGTACAGACATGCTTTTCGTGAAAGTGTGTTGTAGCAGGTAGATTGCTGCCACCAGAGCTCTCTGTCCCAGAACACATGGTTGCCGAAGGAAAGGGCACGGGCCGGTTTATTTCATACCACGTGGTCATTGTGATTCTTCATTCATGAAGGGGAGGTAGGGTGGGAGAGAGGGGCAAAAGAACTTTTTCAAGAGACTGCGTCAACATAAAAACGACGTCTGCCAGTTCCAATGCAACAGGAGCACATTCGCTGAGCACAGGGGGGCGAACAACCATCGCATCGAATTAGACAACTACTGCATATACTATTTGGAGATAAATCGCGATAAGCGCCTTTTTGAAGAATTCTAGCTCATCCAGGAAGAGACACCTGTGAACTTGAACCAGTCTGCCGGTGTGCTGCCGATGGAGAGCCTGCCCCACCGTATTTCCCGTATCATGGAGAATACGCGTAATCCAGAGCGGGAAGAAAAGCCTTCAAAAAAACGCTAGAGGGATGTGAAATCTCGAACTTTTTCTTGCAGTGTAATTGGCAATCCTGTTTCTACAAAAGTCCATTATTGCCGCTTTCTAACGAATGTATAATTTGCACGTGACGTCATAGACAGGTTCTTAGCGCTCCGTACCAGACGATGCTGGCTGCCATGACTTTCTATCGCCTTTGAAAGTGCCAGTGCAATGAACGACAGAGAGTCCTTCACCTCTCGCGTTCTTTTATGCTATCCTCGCTTTTTTCTGTTCGCCAGCCGCGCCAATGCGGAACATGAAAAATTGGAAGGGGTACTGGCATTAATATGATGTCACCGTTTCTTGCTCCTCGCGGCCATGCAAGAGTTCACCAAAGTTCACGAAGCATCTCAACTATCTGGTCTCTGAAAATGGCGACCACTGTGACGTCTATGCAAGTTATACATACTATTTCTAATCATGCTTACCGATAGCTACACGGCATACATAATAGCAATCAGTCTGCTAACGACGATTATCGGAAACGGGTAATTGGCCTTTTATTATAGTGCGAGCTGCCCTTCAAGTGGGGTCGCCGAAATCAAAAGTGGTGGCTCTTGGACACCGAAATTTTCTGCTGCATGCCGGTAGGCAATCTCGGAGGCCTGTGTGGGCACGTATATTTGAGGCAAACATTTGTCTGGCATCGTTGTTCTGTCGAAAATGAGCCAATCCTGCAGGCAATGTGCCACCGCAGGAAGTCCAGGAGGAGAAAGAGGATCGGGGGCGGGGAAGAACGAACAGTGGATTAGTGCAGTAGACTTCAAATATTAACAAGAAAATGCCTTTTGTCGTGAAGTCATCTCAGACAAATGCATGAGAAAACGTGTGTCTTTCATTCATACGCATACTTCCAAAAGCTTTTGAGGTAATTTCAAGAAATATGACTGTTTTGTGTAGGAATCTCGGTCTGAATAATCTGTCCCATATGTACGACAACGTGCTTATATTAAAAATAATGTGTAGTGGTAGACCGACGGCCGTACAAGCGTTTACCATTGAGCTGCCTGCTTTCATATTATTCTGGTAATACACCCATGATATAACTCTTTTAGCGCACACAAAACCCGGACAAGAAAGAGACAGGCGAGTGCTATCTCTCAACTACTTTATTTTTGAAAGGAAGAAAACATATAAGAACCTGGAAACCAGCTCAGTGCATGTGCAAGACATGTGACAGGCAAACGTACAAAGACACGGCTAAATAAAATTTAAAAAACTATACTCCCTATCTTAAATAAATTAGTTGAGAGTTAGCACTCGTCTGTCTATCCCTTGTCCTGTTCTTTGTGCGCGCTAAAAAAGTTGGATGCATCATGGATGCATATCAACTCACCTAGCTATCTATTTTACTAGTAATGCCTGTTTGGCTTTGTAAAGTTGCAACAACACAATCTTTCGCTTCAATACATCAGAAGAAGGGTCACTTTGTGATGATAATACGGTGTACAAATATACATAGGCCGATTTGAATTACTTTGGTACGTCCTTTTCGCATGATCACCACCTCAAATTTGAGTAATTTCGATCTTTCTTTCTCCATCTTTCGAACTGGCCCACCCCTTCCCGCTGTGTAGGCTAGCATACCAGTCCTCTTAGATTGGTTAACATACCTGTCTTTCCTATTCTTTCTGTACTTTCCTCTGTGACGTGAACTATTCTTCCAGCTGCTGCAACTCCAATGTTTTGATAGATGTTTTGAATTTATGCATACAATTATCGCACAAACGCAAAGACGAAACAATACACAGTTTTTCTTTTTTTTTTGTTTCTACACCACATGGTTGGATTTTCTCTCATGCATAAGTTCTTTTTTGCAATACTGTGTTGTCATTGCGAATATCAGAAAACGTAGACACTTCATTATTATTTGCAGAAACTAAGTCACAAGTGGCTCTAATTGAAGAGCACCTACCATCCGCTGACTATTAATTCCGGTATTCTTCTTCACCAGATCCGAGTGAACCCAGGAGCATCAAAATGTTGGCGAAATCACGAGTAGTGACAAGACTGGAGTGGCAGGCGCCAGCCAATTCCCACGGTATTCTTGACGCGTATTCCGTAAAAGTGTGTGAGGTGTTTGCATCATGTGACGAAAACCAAAACTCGAGTGAGTGCGTCGAGTACAAGACACGGGACAACTGGTTGGACATAAACACTACTGCTGACACCTCGTACTGCATCCTCATCACGGCGAAGGCACAGTGTGGCCTGAATGTTCTCACCAGCCTCCCAGCGACGCTGGAATTCAGAACACCTCTTTATGGTGAGCACTTGTTATTACCTATTGTGTGTGTAACTGCGCGTGAGAATATCACACCAGAACTATATAAATGTGCAATTTTCGGGGTTTCGTTACTGGCTATACACATTGCTAGGTAAACGAGAGCATGACTAATTGGAAATAAAAGACTGACCATACTCGTTACTGCAATTATTCTCGTTGTGTCTGAACTCTCTACCACTCTATGATAACATTTCCGACTATTGAGGCTGCTTGAGGGTTAACGAGGAAATATCATTGGAATATTCCTTGCAGTGGTAACATTTAGTCCATTGGCCCGCCACATAAATTCAGAGCGGAGGTTTTCTCGGCAGAACGCAAAATCAATGTTGTCACAGACATGCTTTGGTTGATAGCATAACATAAGCATGTTTAGTTATCACAATCGCGCAAGTTTAGTGATAAAATTTGTGCTTCGGAATTGTTCTAATGTAGATTGCATTCCCAAACATGCCGTACGAAACTGGATGAGACATGTAGCAATATAACGGCCACAAATGGCATCACAAGGTCGACATTCATTGCAGAGCTTCCCGATGTATCTAACCTGACACTGGTGCACGTAAAGAGGGGCTACGTAACCTTATCCTGGCAGCGGCCCAAAGGTCGCTTCGACTACTACTCCGTGGAAGTAACTGAAGACGAAGCTAGCAACAAGAGCGCTGCCCAACAATGGCGCCAACTGTGCTCCAACGGAACCATCATTCGACCCGACCAGACGGAAGTGACGTGCGGACCATTCGAGCCGTGCTCCAAGCTGTCATGCATCGTGCGTACGCATTTCAACGGACCACCGGAGCACAGGTCCCCTGGTGTGACTGTAGCGGATATATTGATCCCTGCCGAAGGTATGTCGTCGTATGCCGTGTTTTTGGAGACTATAGTGATGACAACGACTAGGAACAGATCTGTGAGATCAGTGATAACATCCGTTGGTGGTTCTAACTCAGTATCAGGTGAACAGGAAAGCTTCTTCAGAAAAAACAGCAACTGTTGTTTCTATGTGAAAAGGAGCAGTCTAAAGATCGATTTTGGCGCAGGTTTACCTGGACGTAGTTGTAAAGCACTTGGTTCCATAGAAATATAATGTTTAGCAGTGCATGTTAACTGCCCATCTTGTACACTGGGTTGTTTGTGTGTGTGAACTGAAAGACAGATACTATGATGAATATTTTGTTGTCTTAGCGTTCACTTGAAGGTGAGTGGGCGGAATGAATA